ACGCCAAAGACTTCGCTTTTGTGTCCGATCGCGTATGCCCACAGTTTGCGCGAGAAGTCGTCAAGAAACGTGACCAGGTAACGCTTGCCAGTCAAGGACGACTCGGGAAAGGAAAGCACATCGCTGTGTACGAGGCCGAGTCTCTCTGAGGAGTGCGAGTCCGAATCGGGAAAAGGAAGACGATGGCCCTTTGCACTGAGGCAAGCATTGCAGACAAACTTCTCTACCTCTTCGTCACTATATCCGGCCCCGAGACCTTCCAGCAAACCAGCGGCAACCATCTTCTGTATGGACGACGGTGCGAGATGGCCGAGGCAGCGGTGAAGGGTCAGCAGGGGCACGGAAGACTGTGAGCGAGAGAGGAGAGCGAGATGCTGACATTTGGAATGATCAGCGTCCAGCAAGTAGAGCCTTTCCTCGAGTCTTGCGCCTTCAGCGATAGCATTGCCGTTCTTGTCGATATGGATGCCGTGCTTCGTGAAGGCGACACGGACATCGTCGGTGTCGCAAAGTCGAGAGACCGAGAGGAGGTTGACAGACAGGCCCGGGGTGTGCAGCACGCCGGTAAGCGTGATCGGGTGACCGGAGGCGGCAACAAAGGCGATGTTTCCCGTTCCGACGGCGTTGATGCCCCCTGCAATACCACCAATCTTCGTAGGAGCGATGTGGCGATAGGCCGTGAACAGCGACTTGTCCGAGACCATGTGCGAAGTGGCACCCGAGTCGACGACGAAGGAGTTGTTGCGAAGCTGACGACGATGTGCGAGAAGACCGGTGGCGAGACATCCGACATGGTGTTGCGCATCAGAGGTGTCGGGCGTTTTCCCGTCCTCAAGAGTCTTTTTGCAGTCGAAAGACCAGTGGTCCTTCTTCTTGCAGGAGCGACACGGGCCTGGCGGTGGATGCTGGGCCCTTGTAGGGCATTGTGCGACGCGGTGAGAAGAGCTGCGACAGGCGAGGCACTTGGTACGGGTAGAACGTGGCGACGACGAGGCAAGGAGGGCCGATTGATCGTTGGAGAGGTTCGTTGACCGGAGTTGAACTCGCATACGGTCGGCCACTGAATCGATGTCAGGGAGAGTTCGTTGCGTGCGTTGTTCGTCGGTGAACGTTGCCTTGAAGCTCTCGAGTGACGGGTGGGCGATCGCGAGGAGGAGTGTGGCAAGGACGTCGTTGATCGTCGTTTTCGTATCGATGATCTCTTGCGCGACCGACTTGAAGTCCATGATCCAACTGTCAAATTCGCCAACCGTTCCGGGCATGGGTCGGAAGCCCCAGAGTCGCGAGAAGAGCTCGAGCGTGCGAGTGGCGTCATCAGGGGCGTATCGCGATTTCAGCGTCGAGTAAATCTTGGGCGCTGTGAGGTCGGCCGTAGGGATCTTGTCGAGGACTGCCGAGACTTCGGCCGAGTCGATTGAGTTTGCAAGGATCTCGCGTGCCACGACGTCGCGGGCGGAGCGTTGCGAAGGCGTCCAATCGTCGGGGGTGATTCCGTCGAGGACGTAGGAGCGGATGTCGTCCGCTAGGCACAGGCGAAGCTGGCGTGTCCAGTTCGCGAACGTCTTCGGCCCGTCCAACCGCGCATGCTTCGGGAAGGCATTGCGATTGGAGCCGGATGTCGTGGCGGGTGCGGTAGTGCCGGAAGCGGCAGCGGTGAGTCCCGACAGCAGCGATGTAAGTGCGGCAAGCTGTTCGGCGGGAATTGTCGGGGTGGCGCTCGTCGCGAGGGTTGACGACGTGTCCATGCCAGCGGTAGCTCGATGGGCTTATAACCTATGAGATGATCACCACTACTGTCAGGAGAAGTCGAGAGTCGAACAGAAGTGATCTATTTCAGCGTACCTATGAGATGATCACCACTACTGTCAGGAGAAGTCGAGAGTCGAACAGAAGTGATGAGAAGGAAGCTAAGAAATGGAAAGGGGGCCCGCGCTGGGATATGCCCAGGCGCGGGCGAAATCGCTGGAGCGCTGAGGCAGTCGCGCGCGGCTAAGTCCCCACTGCAAGGGCGGGCTAGCGGCGCGCGCCCGAAAACCGCCGGCGCCGGCGCGCTGAGGCACTCGCGCGCGCCTAAGTCCCCACCACAGGGGCCAGGCTAGCAGGCGCGCGCAACGACCGAGGCGCCCCTGTCGAGCTGAGAGTGGACTCTTCACAGGGGGAACGACACCGTCGAGAACGTAACCACGAACCTGGTTCGGGAGTGCAAGACGGAGTTGACGCAACCAGTTGGTGAACGACTTGGGGCCGTCCAGACGAGCGTGCTTGGGAAACACGACCTTGGATGCGGTGGCGGCGTTCCCCGGCACGACGGTGACGGCCGGGGGTGCGGCGGCTGCGGCGGCGGCGGGTTGCGAGGCCTGCAGAGCGGCAAGCTGGGCCTGTAGAGTGGCAATTTGTTCGCCGATCGAAGATTCAGGGGAGCTGGGATCCCTGGGGGCCAAAGGCGAGGCGGGAGAGCTGTCCATGATGTGATGGTGCGATGGACGTGTGCGGCTCGAGTGGCTGGGCTCGAGCGAAAAAGCCTCAAGCGGCGGGGCTGGTAGCTCGTGGGCTTATAACCTATTCGATCAACTCTACTACGTCAGCGATGTAGTTATAGCCAAGAGTGATGAATAGGAAGCTAACAATAAGAGACCCGCGCGCCCCAAGTCCACAGCCAGCGAGCCTGGGGCTGAGCCAATGGCCCAGGCTCGCTCCGCGCGCCTAAGTCCGCGCCCGGTTCGCTCCGCGCGCCTAAGTCCTGAGCCGAGCGGAGAGTGGATTCCTCACACCAACGACCCGCCCATTCCGGTCGATGCCGACGCCGACGAACTCGATTTGTTGGGAGTTGCCACCGATGATGTCAACGACACCCCTGTAGTCCATCGGCCGCCTGATCCACTGCCCCAACCCTTCCTCGACACCGTCATCCGAGCATACGCCAACGATTCGCAAGCCCAGGTCATCATTACCGACCCGCTATCATGGCCTATGTTTCGGGTGACCGAGGAAGGGAGGATTTTGCGTGTACATCCAGATGAGTCTATTTCCTTGTTTGTGCCTCGTGGTCTCGCTACTGGCGTCGTCAACTCCGACAAGGTCCCATCGCTGCGCGAGCTCGTGCTTTCGGAGATTCATCGAAGTGTCGGGCATGCAGGACATCGCATCACCTTGGCCGCCATCCGTCCTTTGTACTGGTGGTCGTCCATGTCTGCCGATTGCGCCGAGTTCTGCCGTTCATGTGAAGACTGTACCCGAGGCAAGGCGTCCACTCAAGTCCCCTATGGCCGACTGCATCCGATGCCGATCCCTTCTGGTCCTTGGGAACAAGTGGCCATCGACTTCATGACAGGACTGCCTCCGGTCGAGCTCGAAGGGATGATGGTTGCTCAAATCATGGTGGTCACTGACACTTGGGGCAAGATGGTCCACCTGATTCCCCTCCCAGCCGATGCCGACTCGGAGCTCGTTGCCGAGAAGTACTACGCCACCGTCTTCCGACTGCATGGGATGCCTTCCGCCATCGTTTCCGACCGTGATCCCAAGTTCACCTCGCAGTTTTGGCGGGCATTGCAGGCAAAGATTGGCACCGTCTTGCGAATGTCAACCGCGGCACACCCCAAGACGGACGGATCGAGCGAGAATCGGATCAAGATGGTCACCCAAACCCTGCGGATCATGGTCTCGTCAAACCACGAGGCTTGGGCATCTCGTCTTGTTGAAGCTGAGTTCGCTCTTAACTCTTCTGTTGCTGTGTCCACGTCGCTGTCGGCTTTTGAGGCAACCTACGGCTACCTTCCTCGATGCTGGCCCTCGGATTCCTGGTCTGTCTCGGACGTCCCTCGTGCGGAAGCGTTTGCTCGGATCCGACAATTACGGAACCTCGACGTGACAGATGCGATCATTGGAGCACGCCTCAACCAGTCCCATCAGGCCAACAAGCATCGACGCCCAGACGACCCCGCCTTTCGGACCGGCAGTTACGTCTATCTTTCGACAAAGAACCTGGCAGTTCCTGACGGCATGAAGTCGAAGTTGTTGCCGCGCTACATCGGCCCCTTCCGTATCCGAGCGGCCATCCCTGCGACGTCCAGCTACGACCTCGAGCTCCCTCCAGCGATGTCGCGAGTGCACAATCGTTTCCATGCTCGACTGCTTCGGCCTTGCGTTGAGAATGATGCTGAAAGGTTTCCTGGGCGTGACCCCGCAGTTCTTTTTGTCGAAGACGTAGCCGACGCAGCCGACAATTCTGCGATTCCGGAACGGATTGTTCGCGATCGGCGGAACGCTCGGGGCGCTCGTTCGTTCTTGGTTCGATGGGTAGGCCGTAACAACACCGACGATACTTGGATGTCAGAGCAGTCCATTCGCCTTGACCATCCGTCCGTCCTCGACGCCTACCTCGCGCGCCTCGATCGCTCGAACCGCCGCCTCGCCGCACGGTAGACTTCCTTCTGGGGGGGACAGTGTCAGGATGACAGCGTGTACTCGAAGGAAGCCCTTTTTTTTTTTTGTAGAAACCGTTCATCATATTGCCCCCAATTCCTGTTCCCCCTGATTGGCCTACGGAAAAACTAGATGGAAGTCGACGATGATAACACAAACCGCCCGCAAGATGCGAGAAACGGGCCAAGTCCACCAATCCGATACTTCGGATTCAAGTGCCCCAGCCAAGCGGTTGCTCCCCCCCAGGAGACGAATGAGAGAGAGAAGAGAAAGAGAGAAAATGAAAAAGAACTGGCGTACTAACGACAAGAGGCCCACCCCGCACCCACTTCCCAACTCGGTCGAGACAAAGACAGGAGAGCGACTGCGCAGCTACCCTGACCCGCGAAGTCCCCAAGTCTATGCTCGGTCACAACAAGACGCGGTGGAGGCCCCTCAAAACCTCCACCTCAGCAGTCCCTGGCCCCTCAAAGCCGACTTTCTGCCTGTGTCTGCTGATCCCTCCCTTGACTCAGAACCCCGAAGCCAAAGAGCGCGAGCCACCGTCGAGTCAATCCCAAATCGCGAGCCGGTCCATGAGCAACGGAGGCAGTGTTGAACTTCGCTCCATCTCACTTCTAGGACAATATGCGCTCACTGAAGTAGAGGTGCCTCGCCTTTTGGTGCAGTGGTATATTGTTCCTTCATAGGTTATGAGCCCAGAGCAACCAGCAGGTCATGAGTTCAATCCCCCCTGGGGTCAGGCAATTTTGCGCGCATACACTCAGCGTCCCGGCCCCCGCACTTGCCCAGCAGCGTGCCAAGCACCCTGGCGCATCGACAGTGCTCACAGTGCCCAAGCTGCACTTGCCCAAGCGACCTGATCAACATGCCCAGTTGCCTCACAGCCGCACCCACTGCCACAAGCTCTTCAGCTTCGCGCACAGGGGGGTGTTGAACTTCGCTCCATCTCACTTCTAGGACAATATGCGCTCACTGAAATAGAGGTGCCTCGCCTTTTGGTGCAGTGGTATATTGTTCTTTCATACATTCCTTGACGATTACTCGCGCAAACTCTGGGCCTACGCAATCGGACACAAAAGCGAAGTCTTTGGTGGCAGGCAACGTCCTCTTCAGAAGACGTTGACTACACGCGGAGGAGGGGATCAGGCCGAAGGAAGGTCGACTGGGCGGGGGCAGGCGACCGAGGGACAACCGAGGAGGGGACGCGGTTGTGAGGCTCGCAGCAAGTCAAGTATATCGGACTTTATTGCCAACGAGATCGAAAACGAAGGATGAAGGTGAAGGGATCTTGGGAGATGTAGCGGACCAGGCTGAGTGGGAAGGTGCTAAAAACAAAAGGGAGGCACTCAGGCGCAGAGGGGACTTAGCCAATTCAGCTACTCCAAGAGGTCGCCTCAGGGGGAAAAAGGATTGCTCGCGGGAGCACCGGTAAAAACCCTGAGGCCGCGCCTCAGCTAACAAAAAGAACAAAAACCGAGAGAAGATTGCGCTCTGCGCGCCTTGAACCCGCGACCATTAAGTGCGCGCCCGCGCGCCGAACGACTACGCCATCACGCCCACAATGCTTGAATGGAGGGAAGCATTTGGTGACCTCAACTCTACCTGCACATTACCTCAGGGACTTCCTTCGAGTGTTGCTGTCAGTGTATCGCTGTTTGCCTGACATTGTCCCCCCCAGAAGGAAGTCTACCGGGAGGACAGGCGGCGATTTGAGCGATCGAGTTGTGCCAGGTAGGCGTCGAGTAGGGATGGATGGTCGAAGCGGAGGGACTGCTCTGACATCCAAGTGTCATCGATGTCCTTACGGCCAATCCATCGAACCAAGAACGAACGATTGCCCCGAGCGTTCCGACGATCGCGAACAATCCGTTCCGGAATGGCGGAGTTGTCGGCCGCGTCGGCTACATCTTCAACAAAAAGAACTGCGGGGTCACGCCCAGGGAACCTCTCAGCATCGTTCTCAACATAGGGGCGAAGCAGTCGAGCATGGAAGCGACTGTGCACTCGCGACATTGCTGGGGGAAGCTCGAGGTCGTAACTGGACGTCGCTGGAATGGCCGCTCGGATACGGAAAGGACCAATGTAGCGCGGCAACAACTTCGACTTCATCCCTTCAGGAACTGCCAGGTTCTTGGTCGAAAGATAGACATAACTGCCGGTCCGAAAGGCGGGATCATCCGGGCGTCGATGCTTGTTGGCCTGGTGAGTCTGATCGAGGCGTGCACCAATGATCGCATCCGTGACGTCGAGATTCCGTAACTGTCGGATTCGGGCAAACGCTTCCGCACGCGGGACGTCCGAGACAGACCAGGAATCGGTGGGCCAGCGTCGAGGAAGGTAACCGTAAGTCGCCTCGAAAGCCGACAGAGACGTGGAAACAGCAACGGAAGAGTTAAGAGCGAACTCAGCTTCAACAAGACGAGATGCCCAAGCCTCGTGGTTTGACGACACCATGATGCGCAGGGTTTGGGTGACCATCTTGATTCGGTTCTCACTCGATCCGTCGGTCTCTGGGTGCGCCGCTGTTGACATCCGCAAGACGGTGCCGACCTTCGCCTGCAATGCTCGCCAAAACTGCGAGGTGAACTTGGGATCACGGTCGGAAACGATGGCGGAAGGCGTCCCATGCAGTCGAAAGATGGTGGCGTAGTACCTGTCGGCAACGAGCTCGGAGTCGGCGTCGGCTGGGAGGGGAATCAGGTGGACCATCTTGCCCCAAGTGTCAGTGACCACCATGATTTGAGCGACCATCATCCCTTCGAACTCGACCGGAGGCAGTCCCGTCATGAAGTCGATGGCCACTTGTTCCCATGGGCCAGAAGGGATCGGCATCGGATGCAGTCGGCCATAAGGGACTTGAGTGGACGCTTTGCCTCGGGCACAATCTTCGCATGAATGGCAGAACTTGGCGCAATCGGCAGACATGGACGACCACCAATACAAAGGACGTATGGCGGCCAAGGTGATGCGATGTCCCGCGTGCCCGACGCTCCGATGGATCTCCGAAAGCACGAGCTCGCGCAGCGATGGGAGCTTGTCGGAGTCGACAACGCCGGTAGCGAGACCGCGAGGCACAAACAGGGAAAGAGACTCATCTGGATGTACACGCAAGATCCTCCCTTCCTCGGTCACCCGAAACATCGGCCATGACAGCGGGTCGTCAACAATGACTTGGGCTTGCGAATCGTGGGCGTAGGCTCGGATGACGGCGTCGAGGAAAGGTTGCGGCAGCGGGTCGGGCGGTCGATGGACTACAGGGGCGTCGTTGACCTCATCGGCGGCGGCTCCCAGTAAGTCGAGTTCATCGGCGTCGGCATCGACTGGAATGGGCGCGTCGTTGGCGGGGGCCGCGGCGATAGCATGAACTCGATTGACGGCGATGGGAGGAGAAAGGGGACCGGTAGAAGAGTCGACGGCGTCCATAATGTTCTCGGCCAGACGATGGGAACCGGGAGAGCCTGCGTCGTAGCCGTGATCCCAGGGCCCGAAGGCACAATCAACAGGGGGCAACCGATCGTGCGAAGGTGAGGTGTAAGGACGTTCCTCAGGGAGGCTCTCACCAGGTGTAGTGAACTCGTGGCATTCTTCCTTCAAGAACAAATTCCCTAAATCCCGTCCATTCACGTCCTCGTCTTGCGATTCGTCCTTGAGCGCGTAGTATCCGGGAGAGCCTGCCTCGCAATCGTCGCGTTGGGGCCCGAAGGCAAAATCAACAGGAGGCAACCGATCGGGAGATGGTGAGGTGTAAGGACGTTCCTCAGGGAGGCTCTCACCGTGTGTAGTGAATCCGTGGCGTTCTCCATCAAAGAACATATCCTCCAACTCATTCTCCTTGACCTGATCCTCGGGCGATCCCTCCTTGACTTCCCACAAGCGTGACAACGAATCGGCAAGGGAGTTGTTCTTGCCCGCAATGAATTCGAATTCGAAGTCGAAACGGCTGAGTTCGAGACACATGCGGATGTGCCGGGGTGTTTGGCGTAACTTCTGCGTTTTAATCGTGCGAAGGGCTTGGTGGTCGGTGACGATGACGAAGGGGTAACCGATCAAGTGCTGCTCGAACGCCCGACACGCCGAAACGACGGCTAAGAACTCCTTATCAGTGACGTGATAATTGAGCTGAGCGCCATTGAACTTAGCGGAGAAGAATCGCGTAGGAATGGCCTGCGAACGAGTGGGGCCCGAGGCCAGGCAAGCGCCAATGCCAACACGACTGGCATCGGTGAACAAGTAGATTTTGTGCTCGCCGGAGGTGACCTTAGCGCCGTCGATCGGTCGCAGTGTTGCTGGCACGAGGGACTTGACGGTGTCGAAGGCCTGCTGCTCGCGCTCGTTCCAACGCCACGACGTCGATTGCGCTAATAATGCGGTGATGGGCTCCAAGGTGATCGAGAGGTGGGGCAGGTGATCTCGCATCCAATTCACGGTGCCGAGGAAACGCTGAACGTCGGTCTTGTTGTGTGGAGTCGGCCACTGTCGGATACGCTCCCACTTGGCCGGGTCGACCTCGATGCCGTCGTCGGAGATGATCGCGCCCAAGGAATCTAACGACTTTGAGAACCACTCGGATTTGTTGGATCCTAAGTAGAACCGATAATGTCGCAGTGTCATCAGCAAAATCTCGATGTGTCTTAAGTGCGCGCGACGAGTATCGGAATGGACGTGAACATCGTCGAAAAAGATCTTGGCAAACGAGAGGCACGGCTGAAACATCGCCGATGTCAACAAGTTCAGGGTGTTGGGCGCATTGGTGTCCCCAAACTGCATCACCCGCGACGTGTACGTGCCCGTGACCGTGGCGAAGCCGGTGCGATCGACGTGCTCGGGTATGACCCGCACCTGCTCAAACGCTGCGGCCACGTCGAATTTGGACCGGTAGCGCGAACGTGCCACTTCGTAGCGAACACTGGTCATGTCGGGGATAGGTGAAAAACGCTTGGCGGTGTTGCTGTTGCGAGCGCGGAGGTCGATCACAAAGCGAGCGGTCTGGGAGTTCTTTTTCGGAATGGCGAAGACCGGAGCCGCAGAGTCGATCGGACCAGAAACCCAGAAGCGACCGCGAGTGTACTTAGCTGAATGCTCCGCCCACTGGCTACGATATTTGTCGGCAAGGGGATAGACCCTCGGCTTGACCTTCTCGTTGGGGTCGATCAAAGGGATTTCGTGATTGACGGGTCGATAAGGCGGGAGTCGGTCCATTGGGAGCGAATCTACGAACACATCAGAGTATTTCTCGAGTAAGGCAGCCAATCGTGTTCGTGCTTCGGACTCAGACAAATCCTCGAGCGCCGGGTCGTCGACGACATCCAGTAGAGGGTTGTGCGGCTCGAGGCCAATGATCTCGTCGTCAGGAAGCAACCCTGGGTGATCGTAGCCAATGGCAGAGCCGGAGCAGATGGGCGCCACCGTGACTGCGCGATCCCACTCGTGAGTGCCCTTGGCGACCGGCTGCGAAGGGCCCGGCCGTGCGACGGTGAAGACGCCCCAGCCTACCAGCATGCCGGTGTCCTTCAGAAACGGCAAACCCAGGATAGCATCATATGCCGTCACACGGCAAATGAAAAACGCCCGCAAGCCGAGGTCGAGGGAACCGGACGTGAAGAGGGTGTCAGGAGCACAGCCTGCACTGCCATCAATACTCGAAGGAAGTCTCCCAAGTTTGCGGCCGGAGTCGACATCAGCTACCGGTTTGTTCGTTGCAAGCATTGTCGGCGCGATGGTGTAGTCGTGAGGGCGCGCGGGCGCGCACTCAGTGGTCGAGGGTTCGATCCGCCCGGAGCGTGATCTGCCTTTTGGTTTCTTTTCCTTTTTGTTATCCGAGGCCCGGCTTCGGGGTTTTTACCGGTGCCTTGCAGGCAATCCTTTTTACCCCTGAAGCGACCTCGTGGTGTAGTTATTTGATTCAGTCTTTCCTTCGCTGGGAGCACTTCCCTCCCTTTGCTTTTGCCACCCTTCCCCTAGAGCTTGGTCCACTCATTATCATGACTCGTACCCTCCCTCTTTTTACCCATTTCGCTGGCAATTAAGTCCGTTACACTTGATTTGCTGCGAAGCCTTCCGACCGAATCCACTCCTCGGTTGCTCTCGGTCGACTGCCGCCGCCCAGCCGACTCGACCTTCCCATCGGCCTGGTCAGCTATTTCTTGGATCGTTTGCCCTTCCTCTTTTGTCCGACCTCGTTGGCCACCATAGTCCGGTACACTGGACTTGCTGCGAGCCTTGCAGCCGCGTATCCTCCGCGGTTGCCTCTCGGTCGACTTCCGCCGCCCAGCCGACTCGACCTTCCCACCGGCCTGGTCAGCTATTTCTTGGATCGTTTGCCCTCCCTCTTCTGTCCGACCTCGTTGGCTACCATAGTTCGGTACACTGGACTTGCTGCGAGCCTTGCAGCCGCGTATCCTCCGCGGTTGCCTCTCGGTCGACTGCCGCCGCCTCGGTCGACACCCCTTTCGCTCCTTCGCGCTTTCGCGCGCTCTCTCGCTCTCTCCCTCGTCTCTCGCGTGTAGTCATCGTCATCCCCTCCGACGTTGCCTGTCACTTTTTTCAAGTTCGGCATTGCTAGCGACAGTCCCAGCTTCTCTCACCGCTCAGTCCCACACCCTGGACGAGCATTCCCGCCCTCCCGCCCTTCGTCTTCGCGTCGTCCGCCTCCTCTCCGTTCGGCCTCTCGAGTTCGGCCTCTTTGACGACCGCGTGGTTCCTCCCCCCCACCCCCCCACACCTCCCCCACCCCCCACCCCCCCACCTCTTCTTACCGTCTCGTGACCGCCCTCGTTCGCCCTGGAATCGCTGTTGACTGTGAGTTGAGTGATCGCCATGGCCGCCGAGTGTGACACGTCGCGCGCCGCTGCCGCAGCCAGCGCGCCGCGCCTCTTCGCAACCGCGACCCCGGCCGCGCGAACCCGCCCAAGTCCGCCTGCCACCACACTCGTTTCGCACCGCCGCCGCCTTATTGCATGGTCGCCTCGTGCCCGCCTCGTTCGTCCTGGAATCATCGACTGTCGTGTTGAGCGATCGCCATGGCCACCGAGCGCGACACGTCCTGCGCCGCTGCCGAAGACGGCCCGCCGTCCCCTTCCGCCAATCCGACCCCGGCCGAGCACGGCCAACTCCGACCGACCCGGCCGCGCGAAACCGCCTAAGTCCGCCCGCCGCCCAACTCATTCCGCACCGTCACCGCCTCGCCGCACGGTAGACTTCCTTCTGGGGGGATAGTGTCAGGAGCACAGCCTGCACTGCCATCAATACTCGAAGGAAGTCTCCCAAGTTTGCGGCCGGAGTCGACATCAGCTACCGGTTTGTTCGTTGCAAGCATTGTCGGCGCGATGGTGTAGTCGTGAGGGCGCGCGGGCGCGCACTCAGTGGTCGAGGGTTCGATCCGCCCGGAGCGTGATCTGCCTTTTGGTTTCTTTTCCTTTTTGTTATCCGAGGCCCGGCTTCGGGGTTTTTACCGGTGCCTTGCAGGCAATCCTTTTTACCCCTGAAGCGACCTCGTGGTGTAGTTATTTGATTCAGTCTTTCCTTCGCTGGGAGCACTTCCCTCCCTTTGCTTTTGCCACCCTTCCCCTAGAGCTTGGTCCACTCATTATCATGACTCGTACCCTCCCTCTTTTTACCCATTTCGCTGGCAATTAAGTCCGTTACACTTGATTTGCTGCGAAGCCTTCCGACCGAATCCACTCCTCGGTTGCTCTCGGTCGACTGCCGCCGCCCAGCCGACTCGACCTTCCCATCGGCCTGGTCAGCTATTTCTTGGATCGTTTGCCCTTCCTCTTTTGTCCGACCTCGTTGGCCACCATAGTCCGGTACACTGGACTTGCTGCGAGCCTTGCAGCCGCGTATCCTCCGCGGTTGCCTCTCGGTCGACTTCCGCCGCCCAGCCGACTCGACCTTCCCACCGGCCTGGTCAGCTATTTCTTGGATCGTTTGCCCTCCCTCTTCTGTCCGACCTCGTTGGCTACCATAGTTCGGTACACTGGACTTGCTGCGAGCCTTGCAGCCGCGTATCCTCCGCGGTTGCCTCTCGGTCGACTGCCGCCGCCTCGGTCGACACCCCTTTCGCTCCTTCGCGCTTTCGCGCGCTCTCTCGCTCTCTCCCTCGTCTCTCGCGTGTAGTCATCGTCATCCCCTCCGACGTTGCCTGTCAGAGGGCGTTGGCAAACACGGCGCAGCGGTCAGATTTGTCGCGAGTGCCGAGGCGCAAGTGCAGCGGCGCGGTAAGGCGGGACGTCGTGAAACTCGGGTCTGTTCGCACGACATCCTGATCCACCAAGTCCACTTCCGAACCAGAGTCGACGAGGCAACGCAGCGTTCGCCCAGACGGCAACGTCCACGCAATAATATTGCGGGCGCGCACAATCGCGGGCTCGGCGGGTCGGGCGAAGTCGTCGACGTCGATCAGGGGCGTGTCGGACTCCAAGAGAGAAACCCCCAACGGCACCGGAACACGAACAGAGCTCACCGATGCAGTCCTCTCCGCTTTGCGCGACGACACCACCTCCGGCCCCCAGTATCGCCGCATTCGCGACGCGGCATCAGCATAAGAGGGGACGTCTTCCACCGCGTCAAACGCAGAGTCGGTCGAGTCATCGGCAAGACGACGTAGATCTGCATCACTTGCCGGCGCGGTTGGCTGCGGATTACTTGATGAGACTTCGACGTCGACTGAAGAAGAAGCCCCTTCTTTCATTCGGCCAACGGGGTCTGCGGGAGGGCAAGAAGGGCGCGTCATTGAAGCGGAAACGGAACTCAAAGGTCGAGTCTGAACACGCTCGAGTGAAATGGGGACTCTCACCTCGGGATCCTCGTCACCACCTGCGACCGAGGACCAATCTTCGTCATCCAAGTCGGCCACAGCGACCGCTGAGAGTTGGACGGCGACCGGGGATTGACGCTCCGCGGTGCAGTGCTGCGAGAAATGACCGCCTCGTCCGCAGTTGAAGCAAGCCATGCTGGTGGGTACCCCGCTGGGCGCCGGGGAAAACCAGGTGGAGCGGTCCTTCCACAAGTGCGATTGCTGCCACTTAGTAGCGCGGTCGACCCATCGAGCTCGTCGGATCGGGAACCTCTCGTCGACGGTGGGCGTGTTGGTCGCAGGTGGGCTCACTCGGGGAGCTTTGACGATCGCGCCATAGGTCGCGGTGCGGCTTGGTGGGGTCGGAACCGAAGGCGGAGGAGAAATGTCGTCGGCGATAGCGGCCCACTCGGTAATCTCGTCGATGGACGGGACCTTCAGTCCGAATCGCCCAATTGTCACCAGCGAGTTGTCGTGGTATTCACGTAACATTCCCGCCCGCACTTCCCGCTTGGAGGAGTCACTGAGCGATTGGTAGAAGGTCGTGGCGAGCTGAAGCGGCGACAGGGTGAAACTATCGTTGTCGTGCACGAAGGCACGGTACCGCGCCCGCCACTCCCCGACATGGTCGTAAGCCCGAGACGACGACTGGCGACATCCGTGGAAGTCTTGAGCCACTCTATCGGCGAACCCGGGGTCGGGCCAACGACGTCCCACTGCCTTCATGAGCGACGTCCAACAATGAGGGCGCCCTTCTCCAAGCGCGTCCCTCATCGCCTCGACGGCCCAATCGAGCGGGGATTGGCGGCGCTGTCGGGTTGTCGTACGAAAAAATAGCGTCGCCACAAGCTGGATCACTCGGCTCGTGTCGAAAAGGTCGGAGGTGGAGATGTCGCACAAGAGAGAAAGATACGACTCCCCAAACGCAGTGAAAATCACCAACCTTTCCGGATGATCTCCGGTCCATAACCCTTCCCGGTCCGGCAATGTCCCTCTCCAACGAGAGCTAATCACCGCCGAGGAAGGGCCGTCCCTAATTCCGCTGTGAGATTCCCCCCAGGGGTACGAGCAAGGGGGTCAGCGGCAGCTCCCGGGCGTCCCAAAAATGTGTGCGGGGGGACGTCCAGGGGGACCGGTCTCACCGGCAGAGCCTCCCCGACCTGCGCCCCAGCAGGTGCGGTGGATTCTCTCATCAATCGTTCCACCATCTGCTCCAATTTGCGGATGCGTGTCTCCGAGTCGCGGCGCAGGGCTTCCGATTCTGCGAGGCGGGATTCAAGGGACGTGATGACGGCGGCGGCCTGGAGCGGGTGCGGCGAATGCGTCGGCGGGGACTTAGGCGGATTCGCGCGCGAGGGGTCTTCGCGGACGGGGGCGGTGGTGTCTCGCGACGTGTCGGTGGGTTCGGCCATGGCGAGTTCGCGGCGTAGCGGTTGGCGGTTGTGGGGAGAACGGATGCGAGCTCGAGAAGGATGGAAGAAGGGGTACGAAGGGATGACGCGTTCGTCGTCGGACTCAGTGAATGAGGTGGCGAATGACCACGACGCGTCAGCGGGGGATGAGTTCGGCAACGGGGAGGAAGCTGACGACTCAGGGGTAGTGGACGATTGCTCGTCCAGGATGCAGGATAGAGCAAGGGCAAGCGAGATCGAAGGTTGGCGGTGCCGGACTTGAAAAAAGTGGCAGGCAACGTCCTCTTCAGAAGACGTTGACTACACGCGGAGGAGGGGATCAGGCCGAAGGAAGGTCGACTGGGCGGGGGCAGGCGACCGAGGGACAACCGAGGAGGGGACGCGGTTGTGAGGCTCGCAGCAAGTCAAGTATATCGGACTTTATTGCCAACGAGATCGAAAACGAAGGATGAAGGTGAAGGGATCTTGGGAGATGTAGCGGACCAGGCTGAGTGGGAAGGTGCTAAAAACAAAAGGGAGGCACTCAGGCGCAGAGGGGACTTAGCCAATTCAGCTACTCCAAGAGGTCGCCTCAGGGGGAAAAAGGATTGCTCGCGGGAGCACCGGTAAAAACCCTGAGGCCGCGCCTCAGCTAACAAAAAGAACAAAAACCGAGAGAAGATTGCGCTCTGCGCGCCTTGAACCCGCGACCATTAAGTGCGCGCCCGCGCGCCGAACGACTACGCCATCACGCCCACAATGCTTGAATGGAGGGAAGCATTTGGTGACCTCAACTCTACCTGCACATTACCTCAGGGACTTCCTTCGAGTGTTGCTGTCAGTGTATCGCTGTTTGCCTGACATTCGGCATATTCAAAACTTGGCTAGCCGAGGTTGAACTCGAGACGGGTGCGACGCTGAAGGTCCTCCGAACCGACAACGGTGGCGAATACTGTTCGAGAGCGTTCACAGAGTTCTGCAAGGCACGAGGCACTCGTCGACAATACTCTATCCCACGCACGCCTCAACAGAACGGTCGTGCAGAGCGGGTCAATCGTTCCATTGTCGAAGGCGTCCTTGCCCTCCTTGTCGACGCCCACCTACCCAAGACATTCTGGGAGGAGGCTGCAGCTTATTTCGTTTACTGCAAGAACCTGTGTCAACACGCGGCCCTGGACAAGGCAACACCAAACTCCGTCTGGCAGGGTGACCACACCACTGCCTCGGCGCTTCACCCGTTCGGCTGTACAGCTTGGCTTACGGTCGCGCCCGAACTTCGCTCCAAACTCGACCCGAAGGCGGTTCGCGTTCTTTTCACCGGCTACGACCTGGCTTCAAAAGCCTTTCGCTTCTACGACACTACAACACAGAAGATTATACTTGGCAGAAATGCCACATTCCTCGACACTGAATTCCCCGGATTACATGGCGACCCCACTGAGCAAGACGGCGACCCCACTGAGCAAGACGGCGACCCCACTGAGCAAGACGGCGACACGCACTTCGCCAGCGCTCCCACCACCGAATCTCAAACCGTTGTCAAGACATGGACCCCACTAGTAAGGTCGGCGCACATGGACGTCTCATCCCCCCTTGATGATTCTGCCATGAGCGCCGTTGACGTGGCCCCAGGGTACACTGGCGGAACCTTACTTAACTTCACAGATGCCGAATCGTCCTCGTCACCGTCGCCTGTGCCGTCCTCGTCACCGTCGCCTGCGTCGCCCTCATCACCGTCGCCTGCGCCATCGCCTGCACTTTCACCATCGTCGGCTGCGTCATCGTCACCCTCGGCCTTACCGACCGACTCTGAAGACTCCGCCGATCCCCTTGACCTCCTCGGCTCACAGCCCCAGGTTCGCCTCGATCTACAGGACGTGCACCACCCAGACTTCAGCACGTACCGCGAGCCCGCATCGGCTGAGGAGTCGCCCGACGAACTCGACCTCATTGGGCGCCACTCTCGCGACGAATCTCCGGACGAAATCGATTTCCTCACCCGACACCACCGCGCCTTCATCGCCATCGACGACGACACCTCTGACACAGAGGCAGTTCAGCCAGTCAAGTCCATCACGAGCGACCCACAGACCTGGCGCGAGGCGATGTCTAGCGACAAGCGTGAAGTATGGGCCAAAGCCGCCACCGACGAGTTCACCTCCATGCGCGACGACTTCAAGGTCTTCACCATCGAGGACCGATCCACGGTACCAGCGGGTGCGACCATCGTCACATCCAAGTTCGTCTGGAAAACGAAACGGAATGCACTCGGCGAAGTCACCGGCCACAAGGCACGGCTCGTGGCGCAGGGAAATCGGCAACGCGACGGCATCGACTTCAACGAAACCTTCGCACCAGTCGCACGCTTCTCCTCGATACGCTCACTCCTCGCGCTGGCGGCCGCCAACGGCTTGCACGTGCACCAGGCGGACATCGACAAAGCCTATCTGCATGGCGACCTTGACCATGACATCTGGATGACGACACCGCGCGGCTTCGACCTTCCCACCGACAAGGTGCTTCGTCTGCGACGCTCCATCTACGGACTCAAACAGGCTGGCCGAATCTGGAATCGACACATCGACGCATCGCTTCGAGATCTCGGCTATACGGCGACGGGCACCGACCACTGCGTGTACTCTCGGATCGACGATCGGCGACGCCCACACTACATCGCGCTGTACGTCGACGACCTCCTGATGATGACAGGCAACGTCGGAGGGGATGACGATGACTACACGCGAGAGACGAGGGAGAGAGCGAGAGAGCGCGCGAAAGCGCGAAGGAGCGAAAGGGGTGTCGACCGAGGCGGCGGCAGTCGACCGAGAGGCAACCGCGGAGGATACGCGGCTGCAAGGCTCGCAGCAAGTCCAGTGTACCGAACTATGGTAGCCAACGAGGTCGGACAGAAGAGGGAGGGCAAACGATCCAAGAAATAGCTGACCAGGCCGGTGGGAAGGTCGAGTCGGCTGGGCGGCGGAAGTCGACCGAGAGCAACCGAGGAGTGGATTCGGTCGGAAGGCTTCGCAGCAAATCAAGTGTAACGGACTTAATTGCCAGCGAAATGGGTAAAAAGAGGGAGGGTACGAGTCATGATAATGAGTGGACCAAGCTCTAGGGGAAGGGTGGCAAAAGCAAAGGGAGGGAAGTGCTCCCAGCGAAGGAAAGACTGAATCAAATAACTACACCACGAGGTCGCTTCAGGGGTAAAAAGGATTGCCTGCAAGGCACCGGTAAAAACCCCGAAGCCGGGCCTCGGATAACAAAAAGGAAAAGAAACCAAAAGGCAGATCACGCTCCGGGCGGATCGAACCCTCGACCACTGAGTGCGCGCCCGCGCGCCCTCACGACTACACCATCGCGCCGACAATGCTTGCAACGAACAAACCGGTAGCTGATGTCGACTCCGGCCGCAAACTTGGGAGACTTCCTTCGAGTATTGATGGCAGTGCATATTCGATCAACTCTACTACGTCAGCGATGTAGTTATAGCCAAGAGTGATGAATGCATTTCAACATACCTATTCGATCAACTCTACTACGTCAGCGATGTAGTTATAGCCAAGAGTGATGAATAGGAAGCTAACAATAAGAGACCCGCGCGCCCCAAGTCCACAGCCAGCGAGCCTGGGGCTGAGCCAATGGCCCAGGCTCGCTCCGCGCGCCTAAGTCCCAGGCTCGCTTCGCGCGCCTAAGTCCTGGGCCGGGGCGCCCGGCTCACTCCGCGCGCCTAAGTCCGCGCCCGGTTCGCTCCGCGCGCCTAAGTCCTGAGCCGAGCGGAGAGTGGATTCCTCACACCCCCCCCACGCGAACGCGAGGTAGACTTGAGCCGTGGATGTCGCGTCCGGAGGCCTAGAGCATAGCAATGTGTACCAAAAATCTTGGGGCCTAGCGCTTTGGTGAATACGTCCGCAACCATGTCTGCTGTGCCAACGTGTGAGAGAGAGATATCACCTCGATTGACCATGTCACGGACAAAATGCTCGCGGAGGCGAATGTGCCGGGTGCCGGAGGTGCGAACGGGGTCGTGAGCGACGGCGGCCGCGGCCTCGTTGTCGGTGAAGATGTGAGCTGCAGCGATTGGGCAAACGTGGAGCTCGGAGAGGAGTTGGTTAAGGTAGATCGCTTCCTTACCCGCGTGCGACAAGGCCAGGTACTCGGCATCAGTGGTGGAATCCGCTACCCGAGTCTGACGCTTCGACGACCAAGAGACAGCGGCGCCTGCCAAGTAAAATACGTAGCCCATCGTTGAAATGGATGTGTCGACGCAGGCGCCCCAGTTCGCATCAGAATAACCAACCACACCCGTGACTTTTGCTGGGCCGCGGGCATAGAGAAGCTCATCGCGGTACGTGGCGCGAAGGTAGCGAAGGACGTGTTTGACGGCAATCCAATGGCGGCGGCCGGGGTTGTTGGCGAACCGGGACAGGTACGAGACGGCGAAGGCAATGTCGGGTCGAGTGCCAAGGGAGATGTAGAGGAGGGAGCCGATGGCCTGTAGGTACCACGAACGAATGCGCTCCGTTCCCTGACCCGGAATTGCCGTGAGCGAGAGGCCGGGCGTCATCGGCACCGTAGTGCCGCGTGTCGTGGTGTCGAAGTGGAAACGGGCCAGCACGTCCATGATGTAGCGCTCCTGGGATAGAGCAATGGAACCGTCGTCCAGGCGGCGTATTTGGATTCCGAGGATGTACTCCGCGGGGCCGAGTCGTTTGACGCCGTACCGCTGTTCAAGGCCGGAGATGACACGTTCGATCTCGTCGAGGGCTGGACTGACAATGAGGAGGTCGTCGACATACAAGGCGATATAGTGAGGCCGCTGCTGATCGTCAATGCGAGAGTAAATGCAGTGATCAGTGCCTGTTGCCTTGTACCCCAGATTCCTGAGTGATGTGTCAATGTGACGATTCCAGATGCGACTGGCCTGCTTGAGACCGTAGATTGAGCGTCGCAGCCGGAGAACCTTATCGCTCGGGAAGTCGAAACCGCGTGGTGTCGTCATCCAGATATCATGATCGAGCTCGCCGTGGAGGTAAGCCTTGTCGATGTCGGCCTGATGAACGTGGTAGCCATTGGCAGCGGCAAGAGCCAGGAGGCAGCGAATGGAGGAGAAACGGGCGACGGGTGCGAAGGTTTCTGAGAAGTCGATGCCGTCGCGCTGTCGGTTACCCTGCGCTACAAGACGTGCCTTCCGCCCCGTGACTTCACCGCTTGCGTTGCGCTTGGTCTTCCAGACGAATTTGGAGGTGACGATGGTGGCGCCCGGCGGTACAGATGAGCGAGGCTCGATGGTGAACACCTTGAAGTCGTCGCGCATGGCGGTGAACTCGGCGGCGGCGGCCTCAGCCCAGATGTTGTGCTCGTCGCTGGACATTGCTTCGCGCCAGGTCTGGGGGTCGCTAGTGATCGATTTGACGGGCTCGATGGCGTCGAGGGTGGGGTCGTCGTCGTCTGTGGCGATGAAGGCGCGGTGGTGTTGGGTGAGGAAATCGATTTCATCCGGCGATTCATCGCGCGAGTGACGCCCAATGATGTCGAGTTCGTCGGGCGACTCCTCAGCCGATGCGGGCTCACGGTACGTGCTGAAGTCTGGGCGGTGCACGTCCGGTGGGCCAAGGCGAGTCGGGGTCTGTGAGCCGATGAGGTCCAGAGGGTCGGCGGAGTAGTCAGAGTCGGTCGGTGAGACCGAGGGTGACGATGACGCTGCCAACGACGGTGACAGCGCAGGCGACGGTGACAAAGGGTTTGTGGGCGACGGTGACGAGGACGGCTCAGGAGACGGTGACGAGGACGATTCGGTATCTGTGGAATTAAGTAAGGTTCCGCCAGTGTACCCTGGGGCCACGTCAACGGCGCTCATGGCAGAATCATCAAGGGAGGATGAGACGTCCATGTGCGCCGACCTTACTAGTGGGGTCCTCGTCTTGACGGCAGGGGCGGGCGTGTCGGCGGGAACGACGAACTGACGGTCGGTGTCGTCTGCATCGACGGGCGTGGTGACTGGCAGGCCGGGGAAGTCGTCGTCGAGGAAGGTGGCATTGCGACCAAGTACAATCTTGTTGATGGAATGGTCAAAGAAACGGAAAGCTTTGGAGGCGAGGTCGTAACCTGTGAAGATCACGCGCGCGGCCTTGGGGTCGAGCTTGCTGCGAAGGTCCGGGGCGACCGTGAGCCAGGCTGTGCAGCCGAACGGGTGGAGGGCGGTGGCGGTGGTGCGTTGGCCGTTCCAAACGGATTCTGGAGTCTGTTTGGCCAAAGCTGAGTGTGAGCACCTGTTTTTGCAATAAACGAAATACGCAGCCGCTTCATCCCAAAAGGTGGCCGGCAGACGGGCGTCCGCAAGGAGAGCGAGGACGCCCTCGACGATGGAGAGGTTGACACGTTCGGCGCGACCGTTTTGTTGAGGCGTGTAAGGGATAGAGTATTGACGACGAATGCCCTTGGATTTGCAGAACTCCGTGAATGCGTTTGATCGGTACTCCCCGCCATTGTCGGTTCGAAGGATCCTCAACCGCGCGTTCGTCTCTAACTCCACTTCGGCGAGCCAAGTCTGGAAGGTCGGGAAAACATCGCTTTTGTGATCGATCGCATATGCCCAGAGTTTGCGAGAGTGGTCGTCTAGAAACGTGACAAGGTAGCGCTTCCCGGTCAAGGACGGAGTGGGGAACGACAGGACGTCGCTGTGCACGAGGCCAAGTCTCTCGGCGGAATGCGACTCAGAGTCGGGAAAGGGAAGGCGGTGACCTTTGGAACCAAGGCAAGCATTGCAAACAAACTCCTCTACGTCTTTGTCACTGTACCCGGCCCCAAACCCGTCCAGCAAACCTGCAGCAATCATCTTCTGTATAGAGGATGGGGCAAGATGGCCGAGGCAGCGGTGTAGGGTAAGCAGGGGCACGGGAGACTCAGAGCGTGAGAGGAAGGCAAGATGCTGACACTTGGTGTGATCCGCGTCCAAAAGGTAAAGACCGTCGTTGACCCTGGTACCGTGAGCAATGGCCCGGCCGTCCTTGGCGATGTCGATGCCGTCGCTGGTGAAGGCGAGACGAACGCGGTCGGTGTCGCAGAGGCGAGAGACAGAGAGGAGGTTGACGTGTAGGCCAGGCGTGTGAAGAACACCACGGAGCGTGATCGGGTGTCCAGTCTTGGCGACGAATGCCACGTCCCCCATGCCGATAGCCGTGATGCCGCCCGCGATGCCGCCGATCTTGGTGTGTGCCGTCTGACGATAAGTCGTGAATAGAGATCGGTCGGCGACCATGTGTGTCGTGGCACCCGAATCGACTACAAAGGCGTCAGTTGGGAGTTGGCGACGAGCGAAGAGGCAGGAGGCGAAATAGCCGACGTTCGGTTGCGAGGCCGCGGAGGAAGACGTGTCGTCCTGGGTGTCGTCGCTGCTACGTGCCTGTTCACCCCGGTTCTTGCAGTCGAGTGCCCAGTGACCTTTCTTGTGGCATCGGCGGCAGGGGCCGGTGGGCGGGTGCTTCGCACGTGAAGTGCAGTCGCGCAGGCGGTGACCGGGAGCGCGGCAGGCGGGGCAGGGGGAGCTGGTGGCAAGCATGGCCGAATGCGAGGTCGAGAGTCCTGCCGAACGAAGCTGGATGCGAATGCGGTCCGTAAGCGTCGTGAGTTCGGGAAGGTCGCGTCGGTTTCGCTGCTCGTCCGTGAACGTGAGTCGGAAGCTGTCGAGGCAAGACGGGACCATGGCGAGCACGTGGGTGGCGAGCACGTCGTTGAGCGATGTTTTGGCGTCGCGTATTTCCTGAGCAATCGACATGTACTCGCGTAGCCAAGTGTCGTAGGCCTCGACGGAGGCAGGCATCTTCCTGAAGTCCCAAAGGCGAGCGAACAACTCGAGAGTGCGTGTAGCGTCGTCCGGTGCAAAACGAGCCTTGAGAGCGGCAAAGATGCGCCGGTGCCGACAGGTCGTCGCTGGGGA